CAGGATGGGTTTATTTCACATGTTGGGTCAGTAGACGCTCAGGTTACCCAAATATATGTTCAGAAACACTGTACAAGTGGATGTTTCATAATATGTCCCCTTTAAATGTTTTGACTTTTAACCTCATAATTTCGACTTATTATGAGCAAAAAAAAGATTCTCAACGAAGCCAAGTTTTAATTTTAATTTTTTCAACTGGCTGGAATGGGCTTCCATTGTTTTTTTGTGCGTTTCTCCCTGAGTCAGCGTCTACAAAAAAGTTAAAATTATATATAGAATAGCATTATAAGAAAAAAAGAGAAGAAAGGTACAAATAAAAGATGAAAAAATAATAATAAATAAGTTGTAGTAACAGCTAAGTAAATTCAAATAAACTGTACAGAAGTTATAAACTGTATTAAAGCTAATATATAATACAAGAAAATAACAAAGGGGAACACTGTACAATGAAATGAAAATATAAATATGTTTTCTTGTCTCTACTTTCTACATCTCTTATTGCACCTGAGGTTATTGCACACATATTTTTCACATTATATAATTATTATATAAGAATATCATGACTAGAGTTGTCAGGATGTTTAAACTTTGACACGATTCCAGTAAAAATCAGACGATATCTAAACCCGCTTCAATCAAAAAAAGGCATCAGAAGTAGAAGTGCTAGACATCCAATGTTGGATAATAAAAATTAAAAAAAAGAAGTAGGGATGAAAAACTCAGCCGATTCTTTTGTCTGACTCTTCTCCTCTGCTCCTAAACGTCTCACGTTCAGAGTTCAGGCATAGGAAGAAGAAGTCAGATCTCTTCCTTACTATCTTAAAACCACCATGTTTGTTACTCTGACATTAAGACAGAGCATGTTGACGTCTTTTCATAAAGCCTGTGGGGAAACAGAGGAGAAGAATACAACTGCAGGTCTTTAACATGAAGCTCACAGATATCCAGGTGAAGGAGGGGGAGGGGCTGCAGACTGACGCTGACACACCCCGACTATGGATCAGATTTAATCCCCCTCAGCAGATACAAGCCCCGCCCTGAAAACATGGATACCTGTTACGTTCCCCGTACGTTCCCCGTAGTTCTAGGGGATGCGGGGAACAACAAATTTATATTTACCCGGAATCAAGGTGGAGACCAGAGTTCGGTTTCAAAAATAAGAGTCGCTGTCTTTAATTGTACAGGAAACACACAAGCAATAACCAGCTTTAGGTGCACCTTTTGTTTTTTTATTTTACCCGAAGTGTAAATCTGCCAGATTCTGTCCATCTTTACACTGCTTGTTGTGTCTATACTACCCCCAATGGACAAAATGTGGAACTACACTTGTGTTTAAAAAAAAAAAAAAATCTCACTTTTGAGAGTGAGGGGGCGGGAGACATTGCCATGGTAACAGCAAGCTCAGCCAATCAGAGACGTCGCTGTGACACTCGTGGGTCATGGGTTGTGAAGTTTTTTTCACAGAGATATTAAAGATATTATAAAGAGATTGTTTCATACTGGGGTAGCTCGAGGTCAGTGTACCTTGGATGGTTATTATATTACAGCCAAAAATCAAATCCGCTGTTGGAGAAAATGAAGGAGATTTTTACTTCCAGCTCCTCACTGTTGAGCTCTATGACTCTATATATGTTCAAAAACACTGTACAAGAGGATTTTTCATAATATGTCCCCTTTAAATGTTTTGACTTTTAACCTCATACTTTCGACTTATTATGAGCAAAAAAAGAATTCTCAACGAAGCCAAGTTTTCATTTTTATTTTTTCAACTGGCGGAAATGGGCTTCCATAGTTTGCAATGAAGACAAGAAGAAAACATTTAGTTCATGTGAGTTTATTCAGGATGTCAAACTTCAGTTTGTTCACACATCAAATCAGTAAAGTGTGTTCAATCATTTCATGAACACATTCACTTCATCCACACAATCACTTTGTTTGATCAGAATCTCCACTCACAGAAAACAATGATTTATCTCCTTATTGATTTAATCAGGAGGATTACATTTTTAAAACACCTCAGAGGACATCTTTACATCACTTTGAATATGAACAACAACATTTATTCTGACTAACTCATTTCTTTAAGTGTGATTTTATAGATTTTCTACAAATGTACAAAGTGGTGAGAAGAGAAAATCAGCATGAAAGAAAAGTTTGCTGCTCTCTCTCTCTCTCTTCAGACTCCTGAATCAGAACAGAAACAAAAGCATATAAATGTATGAAAACAAATCATCAAACATGGAGAGCGGAGAGAAGTTGATATTTATCACTCAGAGAAATGTCAGTTCAGGTGAACAAACGTCATCCTGAGCAGTGAAAGAGTCCACGGCTAAACAGACACAGGAAGGAGTGTCACTTAAAGACACTGAGTTTCACTTCCTCAGAACTGAAAACAAGTTTCACCTCTGATCAACAAAGCATGTGACTGTGCAGGTGTTGTTGGTTACACCCATCCTCAAACTGTAGATCTAAAGGGGAGGGAACCATGAAGTATGAGGACAGAGTGCAGCAGGCTGAGAGCAGGAAGGAGAGGGAGGGCTGATCGAACTACGATTCATTCCAGGAAGAGGAGCGGTTTGAGAGAGATACTGCAGAGCATCATCTCTGTGTTGTAAGACTTATGCAGACCACAAACAAAGAACTGGATGGGTTTATTTCACATGTTGTGGGTCAGTAGACGCTCAGGTTACCCAAATATATGTTCAGAAACACTGTAAATGTGGATTTTTCATAATATGTCCCCTTTAAATGTTTTGACTTTTAACCTCATAATTTCGACTTATTATGAGCAAAAAAAAGATTCTCAACGAAGCCAAGTTTTAATTTTAATTTTTTCAACTGGCTGGAATGGGCTTCCATAGTTTTTTTTGAGCGTTTCTCCCTGAGTCAGCGTCTACAAAAAAGTTAAAATTATATATAGAATAGCATTATAAGAAAAAAAGAGAAGAAAGGTACAAATAAAAAATGAAAAAATAATAATAAATAAGTTGTAGTAACAGCTAAGTAAATTAAAATAAACTGTACAGAAGTTATAAACTGTATTAAAGCTAATATATAATACAAGAAAATAACAAAGGGGAACACTGTACAATGAAATGAAAATATAAATATGTTTTCTTGTCTCTACTTTCTACATCTCTTATTGCACCTGAGGTTATTGCACACATATTTTTCACATTATATAATTATTATATAAGAATATCATGACTAGAGTTGTCAGGATGTTTAAACTTTGACACGATTCCAGTAAAAATCAGACGATATCTAAACCCGCTTCAATCAAAAAAGGCATCAGAAGTAGAAGTGCTAGACATCCAATGTTGGATAATAAAAATTAAAAAAAAGAAGTAGGGATGAGAAACTCAGCCGATTCTTTTGTCTGACTCTTCTCCTCTGCTCCTAAACGTCTCACGTTCAGAGTTCAGGCATAGGAAGAAGAAGTCAGATCTCTTCCTTACTATCTTAAAACCACCATGTTTGTTACTCTGACATTAAGACAGAGCATGTTGACGTCTTTTCATAAAGCCTGTGGGGAAACAGAGGAGAAGAATACAACTGCAGGTCTTTAACATGAAGCTCACAGATATCCAGGTGAAGGAGGGGGAGGGGCTGCAGACTGACACTGACACACCCCGACTATGGATCAGATTTAATCCCCCTCAGCAGATACAAGCCCCGCCCTGAAAACATGGATACCTGTTACGTTCCCCGTACGTTCCCCGTAGTTCTAGGGGATGCGGGGAACAACAAATTTATATTTACCCGGAATCAAGGTGGAGACCAGAGTTCGGTTTCAAAAATAAGAGTCGCTGTCTTTAATTGTACAGGAAACACACAAGCAATAACCAGCTTTAGGTGCACCTTTTGTTTTTTTATTTTACCGGAAGTGTAAATCTGCCAGATTCTGTCCATCTTTACACTGCTTGTTGTGTCTATACTGCCCCCAATGGACAAAATGTGGAACTACACTTGTGTTTTAAAAAACATTTTTGTCTCACTTTTGAGAGTGAGGGGGCGGGAGACATTGCCATGGTAACAGCAAGCTCAGCCAATCAGAGACGTCGCTGTGACACTCGTGGGTCATGGGTTGTGAAGTTTTTTTCAAAGAGATATTAAAGATATTATAAAGAGATTGTTTCATACTGGGGTAGCTCGAGGTCAGTGTACCTTGGATGGTTATTATATTACAGCCAAAAATCAAATCCACTGTTGGAGAAAATGAAGGAGATTTTTACTTCCAGCTCCTCACTGTTGAGCTCTATGACTCTATATATGTTCAAAAACACTGTAGAAGAGGATTTTTCATAATATGTCCCCTTTAAATGTTTTGACTTTTAACCTCATACTTTCGACTTATTATGAGCAAAAAAATTATTTTCAACGAAGCCAAGTTTTCATTTTTATTTTTTCAACTGGCGGAAATGGGCTTCCATAGTTTGCAATGAAGACAAGAAGAAAACATTTAGTTCATGTGAGTTTATTCAGGATGTAAAACTTCAGTTTGTTCACACATCAAATCAGTAAAGTGTGTTCAATCATTTCATGAACACATTCACTTCATCCACACAATCACTTTGTTTGATCAGAATCTCCACTCACAGAAAACAATGATTTATCTCCTTATTGATTTAATCAGGAGGATTACATTTTTAAAACACCTCAGAGGACATTTTTACATCACTTTGAATATGAACAACAACATTTATTCTGACTAACTCATTTCTTTAAGTGTGATTTTATAGATTTTCTACAAATGTACAAAGTGGTGAGAAGAGAAAATCAGCATGAAAGAAAAGTTTGCTGCTCTCTCTCTCTCTTCAGACTCCTGAATCAGAACAGAAACAACAGAAAATATAAATGTATGAAAACAAATCATCAAACATGGAGAGCGGAGAGAAGTTGATATTTATCACGCAGAGAAATGTCAGTTCAGGTGAACAAAAGTCATCCTGAGCAGTGAAAGAGTCCACGGCTAAACAGACACAGGAAGGAGTGTCACTTAAAGACACTCAAACATTTACAGAACAGACAAGAGGTCCAAGTACCGCCCATAAAGTTTGATTGACAGGTGACGATGATCAGATTTCAGCAACGAGCGTGGATAAAAATCAAGTTGAAGATTTAAAACACAGCAAGTTAAACATCTGTCTCGTTAATGACTTCTGTCTATTTCAGTTTACACAACTCAGCAGGGCCTCCAACACAATAAACCCCGAGTCCAGCATGTAGAGGCTGAGTGAATGTGGTCTGGACTCTGTGGAGGAGAGTCATGGTTTCAGAGATGCTGTAGAAGGACAGAATACCTGCTCTGTGATCCAGGTACACTCCTACTCTGGAGGACTGAGGACCTGAGACACGAGTCTTGACATTGTTGTAATAAAAGTTATATCTGTTGTTGAAACAATCTAACGCCCAAGATTTGTCATTACGTCCAAATACACACTCACTCGAACTCCCTGTTCTGCTGATATTCTTGTATGTGACTGCTACAGAAACTCTTCCTCTCTTCTTCACTTCCCAGTAACAACGTCCAGTCAGACTCTCTTTACTCAGGACCTGAAAACACCATTCAGCGAATCTGTCTGGGTGACTAGAATAAGGATGGTTCTGACCCATTAATGTTACTTTTCTGTTCCCATCAGATAATAACAGCTGTGTGTTTACTGTGTTTGGATCCAGTGTGATGTCACATGAATATTTTAAGAACTCAGCTCTGGTCTTGGGCTCTGGTTCTGGCAGTAAAACGTTCACTTCAGTCACTGTCTGTGAGATGTTTGTCCATTTCTCTCTCAGGACGTCCTGTAGTTTATCTCTGACTTCTGACACAGCCGCTGTCACGTCCTCAAAGTACCTCAGAGGACGGATCTTGATGCTGGATGAGTGTGTAGATTCACTGAGTGGTGACAGTGAGGGGTAGTCGTGTAGAAACTGGTTGTGGTCCTGTGTGTGTGATAGCTTCTTCATCTCAGCGTCTCTCCTCTTCAGCTCAGTGATCTCCTGCTCCAGCTTCTCCTGAAGCTCTCTGACTCGACTCACTTCAGTTTGCTGCTGGGATCTGACCTGCTGCTTCACATCAGAGCGTCTTTTCTTCATGAGACGGATCAGCTCAGTGAACATCTTCTCACTGTTCCCCACTGTTTTATCAGCGGAGCCATTGATAGCCTCCACCTCCTGTTGGAGCAGCTTCACATCTTTCTCTCTGTCCTGGATTCTCTGCTGGATGTTTTGTCGACTCACCTCCAGCTCTCTCTGCTTCTCACTCCTTTCTGCTGCAGCTGAGACTGTGTCATGACCTTTGTGTTCGTCCACAGAGCAGAGATAACAGATAGACTGCTGATGAGTACGACAGAACATCTTCATCACCTCATCATGACGAGAGCAGACGTTCTCCTGGAGCTTCTTGGAGGGCTCCACCAGCTTGTGTTTCTTTAATGGAGGTGCTGCATCATGAGGCTGGAGGTGTTTCTCACAGTAAGAAGCCAGACACTGCAGACAGGACTTACAGGCTTTCAGTTTTCTCTCGGTGCAGACATCACAGGCCACATCTTCAGATCCAGCATAGCAGTGATCAGCAGGAGCAGCTTGGAGTCCAGTCTTCTTCAGCTCCTCCACTAAATCTGCCAACATGGTGTTTTTCCTCAGGTCAGGCCTCGCTGTGAAGGTCTGTCTACACTGAGGGCAGCTGTAGACTGTCTTCTCATCCTCTGTATCCCAGTGGCTTTTAATACACTTCATGCAGTAGCTGTGTCCACAGGTAAGAGTCCCCGGCTCCTTCAGGAGATCCTGACAGATCGAACAAGAGAAGGTTTCCCGGTCCAGCTGAACTCCTTTCTGCGCCATTTCTCCTCTCGGTAACAACGACTGTCTGAGAATCACTTCCTCTTAACTGAAAACAAGTTTCACCTCTGATCAACAAAGCATGTTACTGTGCAGGTGTTGTTGGTTACACCCATCCTCAAACTGTAGATCTAAAGGGGAGGGAACCATGAAGTATGAGGACAGAGTGCAGCAGGAAGTGAGCAAGAAGAAGAGGGAGGGCTGATCGAACTACGATTCATTCCAGGAAGAGGAGCGGTTTGAGAGAGATACTGCAGAGCATCATCTCTGTGTTGTAAGACTTATGCAGACCACAAACAAAGGACTGGATGGGTTTTTTTCACATGTTGTGGGTCAGTAGATGCTCAGGTTACCCAAATATATGTTCAAAAACACTGTACAAGTGGATGTTTCATAATATGTCCCCTTTAAATGTTTTGATTTTTAACCTCATAATTTCGACTTATTATGAGCAAAAAAAAGATTCTCAACGAAGCCAAGTTTTAACTATAATTTTTGCAACTGGCTGGAATGGGCTTCCATAGTTTTTTTGTGCGTTTCTCCCTGAGTCAGCTTCTACAAAAAAGTTAAAATTATATATAAAATAGCATTATAAGAAAAAAAAGAGAAGAAAGGTACAAATAAAAAATGAAAAAATAATAATAATAAGTTGTAGTAACAGCTAAGTAAATTAAAATAAACTGTACAGAAGTTATAAACTGTATTAAAGTAAAGATATAATACAAGAAAATAACAAAGGGGAACACTGTACAATGAAATGAAAATATAAATATGTTTTCTTGTCTCTACTTTCTACATCTCTGAGATACAAGCTCCGCCGTAAAAACATGGATATCAAACACACATGAGGGGTGGAAGGTGACGGCTCCTCTGCACTGATTTGTTTACTGGTTGATTTCTGGGTGAGCATGCAGACAGGAGAGGAGACTCGGGCTTAAATCAGAGCAGCAGTCGGTCTTTGGGAGACCCTCAGAGAGACTCTTATGACCCAAACGTCTTTGCTGTTTGGTTTCTTTGTCTTTGGATTTACAGCACACACACCGTACACAACTGACTTCAAAGAGTCTTCAAATCTACAAGTTTTTTGAAAGTTTGATTATTATTCTTGTAAAGAATCATCAGACTAGGGGGGATCATCCATCTTTGTCATGGTGTAATGGTGCATTCATGTGGTCTTGGAAGTACGGTGGCTGGGAAGTGCAAAGCAAAATTACAAGATGTGAAACACTTTTACAAGCGCTGAGACAAATTTACAAGAGGCAGAACACTTTCACCAGTCCCCAAACAAACTTACAAACGACAGAATCTTGATGTAAAGGGAATGTACTGCGGCAAAACAAACAAAATGACCCCTCACTCGATCTATTTCGGGTCACTTCCGACATTTGGTACATTCCTATTTTGTTAAGATTCTGTCGTTTGTAAATTTGTTCGGGGATTGTAAAAGTGTTTCACATCTTGTAAATTTGTTTTATAAGATGTAAATGTGTTTTTTCCTTGGTATAAGTATTTTGGTTTTGTAATTTTGTTTTCTAAAATGTAAAAAGGTTTTTCAAAATGTACATTTTTTTTTCTTATTTCCGTTTTTTTTCCGTAATTTCCCCACTTCCGTTCCGTGTCGCGGGGGACAATGAATGTACAAACGATTTGTAGTCTAAAAATAAGCCATTTTAGTTTAAATAAATTAAATACCTACGATTGTAGACAGAATAGCTAATTCTTCATTTTTATATATTTTCATATGAACTAACTACGCTCTGAAAGGTGAGAAAAAAATAAAATGTTTTTTAAGACACAAATGTAGTTCCACATTTTGTCCATTGGAGGGCAGTATAGACACACCAAGCAGTGTAAAGATGGACAGAACCTGGCAGATTTACACTTCCGGTAAAATAAAACAAAATAAAAGGTACTACTACTGTAGCTTTCATGGAGACCAAATCATCTGCTAATAAAAAACTAGTGTCATCGTTTAAAAGCTCACATACATAAGCGTACTCTAATGTTTAACCCGACGAAGCTTTTGTCCGTTTTTCTTTAATATCCCGCTAAATAGCAGCGTTTTTTTAACGCCACGGTTTTAGAGTCTCCCAAAACCAAATTAAATTCCAACAATCGAGTCAGACACGGTCATATATTTATAATGTTGATAAAGCGTTGAACCCAAGATTAATAGTTTAAAAAATGTATTCAGAAAGTTTTACTTTGAAAAGTAAAAACGGAAGTAGCAGGTAAATGTAATTTCCCCTAACTTAACAACAGTTTGACTGTAGTTACTAATCATGTCCACTAGATGGCAGCCTAACAATGCTTTTTCATCAAACACCCAATATTTCCACTTTTCCAGTTCGGGGTCGCGGGGGACAATCTACGATCGGTTTATAGAAGCCAATTTTACTTTAAATACAATTAAATACCTACGATTGTCGACAGAATAGTCAATGCTTCATTTTTATATATTTTTATATGAGCTAACTACGCTCTCAAAAGTGAGAAAAAATAAAATGTTTATTAAAACAGAAGTGTAGTTCCACATTTTGTCCTCTGGAGGGCAGTATAGACACACCAAGCAGTGTAAAGATGGACAGAACCTGGCAGATTTACACTTCCGGTAAAATAAAACAAAATAAAAGGTACTACTACTGTAGCTTTCATGGAGACCAAATCATCTGCTAATAAAAAACTAGTGTCATCGTTTAAAAGCTCACATACTCTAATGTTTAACCCGACGAAGCTTTTGTCCGTTTTTCTTTAATATCCCGCTAAAATAGCAGCGTTTTTTTAACGCCACGGTTTTAGAGTCTCCCAAAACCAAATTAAATTCCAACAATCGAGTCAGACACGGTCATATATTTATAATGTTGGTAAAGCGTTGAACCCAAGATTAATAGTTTAAAAAATGTATTCAGAAAGTTTTACTTTGAAAAGTGAAAACGGAAGTAGCAGGTAAATGTAATTTCCCCTAACTTAACAACAGTTTGACTGTAGTTACTAATCATGTCCACTAGATGGCAGCCTAACAATGCTTTTTCATCAAACACCCAATATTTCCACTTTTCCAGTTCGGGGTCGCGGGGGACAATCTACGATCGGTTTATAGAAGCCAATTTTACTTTAAATACAATTAAATACCTACGATTGTCGACAGAATAGTCAATGCTTCATTTTTATATATTTTTATATGAGCTAACTACGCTCTCAAAAGTGAGAAAAAATTAAATGTTTATTAAAACAGAAGTGTAGTTCCACATTCTGTCCATTGGAGGGCAGTATATGCAGTATTCATAAACCATTAATGATGAGGACATGTGCGTGGTCCCATATGGTCTAGCGGTTAGGATTCCTGGTTTTCACCCAGGCGGCCCGGGTTCGACTCCCGGTATGGGAACTTAACTTTTGTGTATTATTTACAGGCTCGTTTATTTAAATACGAAAAAATAATCAAAGCAAACATACAATTTTCAATTAACGCCATCCGGTGGTGAAGGCTTCGGGCCCGCAAAGAGTACAAGTTTATACTAGAAATCCTAGTTAATAAGTTAAATGATATAATATATATAATTTTAACTTATATGAATTATATAATTTAACTTCAGGCCTACATGATATAATTTATTTTTTTTATTAAATATTATCATAAGGATTCAAATGTTACCCAGAGACATTTATTAAATATGTAATTTCATGAAAATTTTGAAAACAAATATTTTCATCAAGATGATTTAAAAAGCAGATTATTGCTTTTTTTTTCCTGAAAAGGTCTTGATTAAATAATAATAATCTAACAACCGTGTTCCCTTTTTAATTCATTTATACACAACAAAATATATAATTTCCAATTTATCTGTATACAAAAAAACATTATTTAGACATCATGTACAAGAATGTATTTAATGTAGACAGCTGATAATAAACTGTACATCAAATGTATTTTAGTTAAAACAGAAATAATTGTAGATCACAAAATCAGAAACGGTTTAGATAACAAAATATTAGTTTTCCTCTTTTTTATTTTAACAAACGTTTTCTTTCACAATTTCACATATAAACATATGGACATATAAATATATATATTAACATACACACTATTATTTCCCAACATATAAACATTTTTGTTAAATCTAGCAGGATTGTTAGAAAGATTAGTGCTGACTTATTGAAATTCTTGTTGTTTTGACTTCTGTCCCTTGTTGATTTTTTTTGTCCTTGCTCAGTTTGTTGTCTGTTTACATTTGTCTGATGTTTTCTTTGGGAAAAGTTTGATTTTTATTCATTTATTTTTATATATAATCCCCCTAGTCTTGATTTATGTTTGAATTAACTTGCTCCTGTGTATTTTGCTGTTGTATGTTCATCCTCTTTAAGAGTTTGTATAAACATTTTTTGTATATGTTAAATTTGTCAATAAAGACGGTTAAAAAAAAATACATTTATACAGAATAAAATAATTTAAAACGAAAGAGAAGGAAGAAAATTTAATAAATGTTATTTAATTAATTAAATAAATAAATACACATGTTTCTATGTCTTATCCATGTCTATCTAAATATAATATTTATAATTAATATATAATATAATATAGTATTTTTTGTATATGTTAAATTTGTCAATAAAGACGGTTAAAAAAAATAATAATAAATAAAAAATAAAAAAAAATATATTTTTTGTTCCCTGTTGTTGCTACTCGACATTTTGCGTCATCATTGAGCTCCAGAACGATCGTGACGTTTGAACTCCGCGACTGCCCTACTGCCCCGTCTTTGGTTGCGCTTGAGCCGCCCTGCCGGTGCAGGTAAATCCGTTTCCTATCCTGTGCTTTGTGTGCCAAAGCTCCGGGGGCTGTCCATGCACGGCACCATGGCTGCGTCCTCACACCGGATCATGCTGGGCCCGCTGGTTGCTGCAGTGGACCAGGGTACGAGCTCCACACGGTTTCTGGTAAGACACACCGGACCCCCGTCGTTATTTGAATGTGTTATATAATCCTCATAGACATGTCAAAGCTGCATGTGTCCTCTAACGTAGAGCTTCAGCTTCCAGAAGTTAGTCTGCAGACTTTTAACGTGTTTGTTAGTCGCTAAACGTGAATAAATCATCTGTTTGTTCAAACAGCTGTGAATTAATACGGGAGTTTAGAATATCCAACGGTACCTGAAGGCAACAGTGGAGTATTTATCTGAGGGGCTTAGAACATAGAATATAATAGAATAGAACAGAGTTATAAATGGTGTAAATTAATATAATATAATAGAACAGAATAGAGTTATAAATGGTGTAAATTAATATAATAGAACAGAATAGAGTTGTAAATGGTGTAAATTAATATAATAGAACAGAATAGAGTTGTAAATGGTGTAAATTAATATAATATAATAGAATAGAATAGAACAGAGTTATAAATGGTGTAAATTAATATAATAGAATAGAACAGAACAGAGTTATAAATGGTGTAAATTAATATAATATAATAGAACAGAACAGAGTTATAAATGGTGTAAATTAATATAATAGAATAGAACAGAACAGAGTTGTAAATGGTGTAAATTAATATAATAGAATAGAACAGAACAGAATAGAGTTGTAAATGGTGTAAATTAATATAATATAATAGAACAGAATAGAGTTGTAAATGGTGTAAATTAATATAATAGAACAGAATAGAGTTATAAATGGTGTAAATTAATATAATATAATAGAACAGAACAGAGTTATAAATGGTTTAAATTAATATAATAGAATAGAACAGAACAGAGTTATAAATGGTTTAAATTAATATAATAGAATAGAACAGAACAGAGTTATAAATGGTGTAAATTAAATATGAAAGATTAAATGTAAATGTGCAGAAACAGAGCAGTAAATGGACAGTGTTGACATAAGTTAAAGTGTAGACATGTTATCAGCAGAAACTATTCAATATAAAGGAGAGTAGACAAATGAAGTGAACATGAGTGCAGGGATCATTTGTAAATGTAACATGTGCAGAACAGATGACAGTATGGAGAGACAGATATGATCATGATGACAGTTCTCTGCTCACATGATGAGCTGCTGGAGAGCGCTTCATGATCAACAGGCTGACAAAACTTGTTAGTTTGGTTTTCTACAAAAACAAACAAATTGGGTGGATGGAGACGTTATTGCTTGACAAGGAAGGAAATTAAATACAGCTACAGGAAACTAATTATTAATGTTGTTTTCAAGACAAATTGAAGATTTTAAAGGGTGCTGCTATTTCTTATGGTTAATCCAGGTTTGTCTGCTATGTTTTGCTTTCTTATTTCAGAAGTGTACAGAACAGATGTAGTTTTTGATCTGGGTGTGGCCAATAGGAAAGAGCCAAGACTTTAACTGACATGAGTCATCTCAAACTGCAAGCTTTAATGCCACACAACATGTGCTGATGTATTTATAGCTGTGATAATCGTACCATTAAAACTGGCTGTGTGTAGTTACTGTAATGCTGCTGTGTGCCAAATACCAACAAAACTCTCAAATGATGACTCATGATAGTCTTTCTCTCTCTCTGTTGTCTCCCAGGCGTTCTCCTCTTTACTTCACTTCAATGTATTCATTTCTCTCTCTTTTATTTTATCATCAAAATGTTGAAGTTGTGCTTTAAATCGACAGAAAAGTCATGTCGCTGATAAAAGTGAAATATAACATCATTTTAAGAGTCAAGAGAAGCGGGTTTTGGATTTAAAGGATCCCTCCACTGTTCAGAAAACCTAAAAAAACAACAGAGAATTAGAAATCCCCTCATGTCCATGATGGGTTACCTATTAAAAGATTGTGTGCAGGGTTAGAGTGGTGATGCGTTTTCTTTATCTCTTTATACTGCAGGTGTTTAACTCGAAAACAGCAGAGCTCCTCAGCCACCACCAGGTCGAGATCAAACAGAGCTTCCCCAAAGAAGGGTAAGAGATCAAATCCAACACATCTTCTAAAAGATGCACGCTCACTTTTGAAACGTGCAGATGTGATGAGCTGCGATTATTCAACCGGATTATTTTCAGATGGGTGGAGGAAGACCCCAAAGAAATCCTGCAGTCGGTGTACGAGTGCATGGAGCGGACTTGTGAAAAACTCACCCAGCTCAACATCGACATCTCAAACATTAAAGGTGGAAATGCAGTGCAACGTCATTTTTTTAAATGTATTTGAAAGCAGTGATTTTCTGTCTTGAATCAGTTTAAATTGTCCTTTACATGTAGCGATTGGAGTGACCAACCAAAGAGAGACCACGCTTGTTTGGGACAAAGAAACCGGGGAGCCTCTCTACAATGCGATCGGTACAGCTTTCATGTTTCCTCCTCTCTTTGTCCATCTTTTCATCCATACTCATATTTGTACCACCTTTACAAGGTCAACCAGTCTGACTCTGTCTCATGATGTCATTCCTCTACCAAACTGTGGCTAACACAGTCAAACAGCAGATGTGTTTCTGGTCACTCTAAAATAACGGCAGTATTTCATTTTTAGTTTGGCTGGACCTGCGGACTCAATCAACAGTGGAACGTCTCATCAATAAAACTCCAGGAAGGAATAAGAACCACCTGAAGGTGAGCTCCTCGGCCTCATGTTATCATATTCAGCACAATATTTGATACAAATATCAACATTTTTCTAATTTAATAGGAGCTTTAATCGATGATTTTGCAGTTTTCTCCCAGCCTTTTCAGAGCAAAGCTTCGAGCAACATTTAAAGAGAATCTTTTTTTTATCTTGTTTTTTCTTCCTGCAGCATAAAACAGGGCTTCCGATCAGCACGTACTTCAGCGCAGTGAAACTCCGCTGGCTGATGGACAATGTGGACGAGGTCAGGGAAGCCGTCGTCTCTCACCGCGCCATGTTCGGCACCGTGGATTCCTGGCTTATATGGGTGAGTAAAGACTTCCAGGCCCCAACACTTTCCATAAAAATCTGACTTTTGATGTGTTTTTTAATTGACTATCCCTCAGTGTTTGACCGGGGGTAAGTCAGGCGGCGTCCACTGCACAGACGTGACTAACGCCAGCAGAACCATGCTGTTCAACATTCACACATTGGACTGGGACCCTGAGCTGTGCAAGTAGGACATTTCATTCCTCTTCCCTGCTTTCTGACAGACTTCACAGTTTGACTTCAGATCATGTCAAAGCCTTTATATTTTCCAGTTTCTTATTGACCCCGGTGCTTTATCCCTTTCCTCTCCTTCCCATCAGGTATTTTGGTATTCCCATGGAGATCTTACCCAGAGTGAGGAGTTCTTCAGAGATCTATGGCCTCATGGTAAGACCGCACAGATCTGTCACTTTAATGTTGAGTCCACTTCCAATTCAAAAGTAAAACTTGTATTGTTCTGATTTCATTGCTGTGTGACTACACTGTGTTTGCTGGCCACTAATATGACCACAGAGGTTTGATCGTCTGTTGTCAGACTGTTTTTAAGTGCATGAAGGTTGTCTGAGAAACTCTTTTAGGCATTTTTTACGTGTGCCATTGTCTTCTCTTCTCTCACTGGTAGAAAATAAGTTCTAGCCTGGTAAGTAAAACCTCGCCATCAGCTCTTCCCCTCATCATGCAAAAATAACCCCGCCCTGCTTCTCCGTGGCCAGAGTGAAAACAAGCCATCCCACAGTGCATTTCCAACACTCATGTTTCAGGAGCTCTTGAACATTTGGTCCCTTTCTGCAGATTATGCTTCTTTGTTTATCATCGATTAACTAACAGACATTTGCCGTTCATATTCAAACACACCTTGGCTGCAGCACAGCAAAAACAATCTTCAAAACTCGGCCTTTTAACCTCTTTTGCATTGAGGTGGTAAAAGAATTAGGGCACAAATAAAACAACCAATAGGCTAATAGTATCAGCACATATGGGCCTTTACAAAAGTACACATCTGCAATATAATGGTGCATGTGTCAGCATTTTTTTTTTTACAGCAAATATAATGCAGAAAACAAAAGAATGTGTGGATTTGGAAATGGTGTTACTGCATACTTTAGCCAGCAGATGGCGCTGTAACTCCACATCTTACAGTATTACAGGACTTCTGAGTATGTTTGAATCATCATTTTGGTCCAAATTAAAAAAAGAGCCAGCTTGATAAAGACCTAAATATGCTGCCGTATTGCTAATTGTAGTTGGTCTAAACTGTCCCTGGCTCTAAGTGCAAAAATAAAATTGAATGTAACATTCTTAAACAGCGACCATAACTGTAAGAAAACAACATTATTAAGTATGTGAGATTTTTATGTATGCAATTCAAGCCCCCCCCCCCCCCCCCCCCCCTTTGCTTTGTGCTGGATACAAACAATTGTGAATGGGTGCATGGATAAGGATCAAAGCTATCAATGTTATTATCTCAGTGTATTATGTTGCCCCCTAGTGGCCATTCGTCCATAGCTTATAACAGACACTCATTCACAAAAAGCAGCTCTTTTTCTGTTGTTTTAATGCAAACACACACAAAGAAGTTCATATACTAACACTTTTACACATGCAATCTATTGGGAATGTACTGGATGGCCCCCTGTTGCTTCTGTTATGGCATGCTACTAAACTGGTTGTCGTTCTCGTCCACGGTATCACTGCCAGCATCCTGTTTGCTCGAAATCTCTTCACTCTTGGGCACCGTTTTATTTAAACCAACTAACCAAAACAACAGCCTGATGTAGGAGTGAAGACATTTTAGATTTTTACAGGAGCACACTTTCCCTTCACTGTGAAAATGTGGTAGAATAAAGATCGCTATGTTTCAGTTATTTGGCTCCATGAAGTCAAATAATGAGTAATTCCCCTTTTTTGTTTTCAGTGTTGTTGTCGTTTTACAGTTCATGACATGACATGATGAATCTGAATTTTTTTTAACAGAGTAGTTGCTGTTAATTTGATCTTTTACCATCAAATGTGTGTTTGTAGAATCCAGTTTTTAATCACATTGTTGTCATTACTTCACTCAAAAGTCATGTAGGGTTTTTTTTATTTAAGTAAACTGGGAACAAAGGTGAAGTTTTTCCATTTGATATCTCATCGGTGAGGATGTGTTCAAGACCAGAATTCTAAAAGAACCACCAAAAAACAAAACAAATAAAACCCTAAAAAATGTAATTTGAATGTAAATGAAGCACACTCTCTGCTAACTCATTAAACAAGCTCGTCTTTCCTCTCGACAGAAATCTGGAGCTCTTTCCGGCATTCCCATTTCAGGGGTAGGTTTCTCTCCCACTCTCCAACATTACTAATATTTACTTAAACATTTCTGAACGACTAACAATGAGCTCATCTCTTTAAAAAAAGTGTCTCGGGGATCAGTCAGCAGCACTTGTTGGACAGATGTGTTTTCAGGACGGGCAAGCCAAAAACACGTAAGTAGCTTTGTGTGATTTTGTATATTGTGATTTTCTTTGAATGTTTTAATAAAACATCCAGTAAAAGTTAGATTATTATGTGTTTCAGGTATGGTACTGGCTGTTTTCTGCTGCGAAACACTGGAGCAAAGGTACATTATTCAGCATTTGTACTGTAAAGACACACTTAAATATATATAGCACATGTTACATGAAGCATTTTCCTTCCTTTTGTTTTGCAGCCTGTTATGTCCGACCACGGCCTCCTGACCACAGTGGCATACAAACTTGGCCGGGACCAACCTGCTTGTTATGCACTGGAGGTACAGTATAGAAAAAATCTACAATCTGACAATAATCCTCTCCCTCTGTCTCTCTTGTAGTGACACATCTGTCATTCCTTCTGGTTCTTCTTTCCAGGGCTCTGTTGCCATCGCTGGAGCTGTGGTCCGCTGGCTGCAGGACAATCTGGGCATCATCGAGTCCCATGAAGAACTTGGTAAGCTCTGCTTTCGGTCATCCAAAATGTGACATTCAGCATCCTTAAAGACTGTGGTGCTGTTTCTCTTATAGATTTTCTGTAAATCGTTCTGAGGGAGTTTTTATCCCAACAACTGGAGGAATATGAATTTCTTCATATGTTGCTTGACTGATGACTTCATGTTTCTTTCTTTTTCCCCGTGCAGAGAAGTTGGCTGCATCGGTCGGTACATCCTACGGTTGTTATTTTGTTCCTGCATTCTCGGGTCTTTATGCACCTTACTGGGAGCCAAGTGCAAGAGGGTAAGACCAACAACGACTCTGTGGTGTGGAAAACAACTTTCAAGTTTATTGCAACTCTTTTTTTTTTTCTGTGTCACAGGATCATCTGTGGCCTGACGCAGTTTACTAACAAGCGTCACCTCGCGTTCGCTGCACTGGAAGCTGTTTGCTTCCAGACACGAGAGGTGAGAGCTACATCCCTCACTGAGTTCTTTCTCTCAAACTCTTTTTGGTAAATCTGGTATTTTTTTGGTGTAAATTACATCATCTGTGTGGATGCAGATACTTGACGCCATGAATCAGGACAGCGGCATCCCGCTGACTCAGCTGCAGGTTGATGGAGGAATGACGTCCAACAGGTTGCTGATGCAGCTGCAGGCCGACATCCTCTGCATCCCCGTTGGTGAGATTTCCTTATATGATCGTACTTTTCATAATTGTCTGTTTAACGTGGGTCAAAAGGGATCAGTGTTAACATGTCAAAATGAAAGTTAAGACAGCCAATGAAACGAAAGCTGACACTGATCAAACTGGTTCCTCAACAGCATGTTTTACACTCAACAGCATGTTTTACCCTCAACTGCATGTTTTACCCTCAACTGCATGTTTTACCCTCAACAGCATGTTTTACCCTCAACAGCATGTTTTACCCTCATCCGGCTGCAGAAACTGCACATTTATCTGATGTGAAGCTGGCGGAGGATGTCATGGATCTGGGTCACTCTAACATCTTAAATACTCGGGGGCCCTTTTTACAAAATAGAGACATGATTTTACTTTTAAGTGCATCAAATGGAATAAATAAAATCTACAAAATCCTGTCAATGCTGAGGAAATGTAGTTAATGCTCATTTACATATTTTGTTTCCACACCTATACAGTCTCTAACAAGCAATCAAATCTGACAAAATAACCACTTCAGAGAGTCATTTGTTCACATAGTTTTTATTTCTAGTAAAGAGTGTATTGATTGTTATTTTCAGTGAAGCCGTCCATGCCTGAGACCACCGCTCTGGGTGCAGCGATGGCAGCCGGAGCAGCAGAAGGGGTGAGCGTGTGGAGTCTGAGCCCAGAGGACCTGAGTGAGGTCACCTCGGAGAAGTTTGAGCCTCAGATCAACCCTGAAGGTACAGTCTGTTGTCTCTCTCTCTCTGAAGCATGTCTCTAATCTGTCTAACTGTTTTCTTTGTGTATGTGCTCTGCAGAGAGTGAGTTTCGGTACGCGCGATGGAAAAAGGCGGTGCAGAAATCCATGAACTGGGAGACCACAGAGCCTCTTGGTAACGGAAACGGTAGGCACTAAATATAAGGCCATGTGACATTTAACAAAATCATCACACGCTGGATCAGCAGTGCTAGGTATTTTAAGAGCAGGCACACTTTCTAAGGAGATAATAATTATGTAATAATGTTCCTGGTCGGTTTGATAACACTGTTTTTATTTGCTCAAAGATGATACATTATTGATTTTCTCTTTGGACTTTTATGCTAACGTTGATATCAGAGAGTTTCTGTAACTCTACTTTTTGTTTCATCTTGTGGTGTTGGAACTAATTCTTTTCATTCTTCTCTCTCTTTTGTTCTTTGCTTCGGATGACTTAAAGGTGAATCTAGTATCTTCAGCAGCGCCCCGCTCGGCTTCTACATCTTTGGCAGCATGTTGATGTTAGTTGGTGCGAAATACCTCGCAGGTCAGTGTCTTCTTAAAGTGTTCGATTCTATAAGCAAAGGGATTACTGACTAACATCTGTGCACTCAGATGTATGAAGAGTCAAGTTATTTAGGTTTAAGTGCACAACACTGTTGAAGTTTTTGTTGGGAGTAAGCAAGCAAATATCGGCAAGAATAAAAATTAATTATTTATTTATTTATTTATCAAGTGAATTTCTTGGTGCTGTTTGGTCTCCTAAATAAGAGACGTTTTCTTTATGGAATTAAGTTTGAAGTGAGAATTTAATATAAAAAATGTAGATCATACTCTCAGTTACACAACTCAATTCATCCTCTAAATTTTCCATTAGCATCTCAGTTATTTATCCAATAAAAAAAGATAGCCTAATGCTACGCCATTGAAATCCTAGACATGTGAACAAACCATGTTACATGTTCAAGAATGAACTCCAAATGCTTTTCCTTCCACGTCAGGCCTCCATTAGGTTCCAGCTCCTGGAGGCGTTGAAACAAAAAGGAAAGTAGAAAACAAACGCTCTCCACGTTGGACCGCCTCCTGTCCACTCAGTTGCACTCTTTCCCCAAACATAAAGGCATTCCAGGAGAAAGACACTCCTGCTGAATCTCCCCGCTGACTGGATAAACAAGTGACAACTCACTAATGGGACTTTCTCCTGATTATCTGCCTCCTTTTTTCATTGGAATGCTTTTTTATTCTGCAGGATACATGAACACAACGGTACATTTTTATTTTAGTGTGCATGCAGTATTTTATTTAATTTTTTTACAGTATTGATATCAATCTCTGAGCTAATTTATGGAAGCTCCAACAGTGGTTGTTCAGATTGTCATTATCTCTCCACAGACGTTACATGTAGTTTGCGGTCTTATTTGCATCCCTAGTGGTTCACCTGGTGGCCCAGACTCTCAACCAGGAGCTACAATAGAACATTTAGTGCACTTTATAATTGTGTTCTGTCTTGTGGAAGCAGTGTACTAACAGAGTCTAAAATATATTTTTTCTAACAAGTGGAATTAAGACACTGAAAGGTTAGTTTTAAGTTAAATGAAAACAAGGGAAGGATGAAAGTGAATGAACTGGTACATACTCTTGTACATACTTTTTGTAAATAAATAGTTGGGTAATGTGCGATGAGGAATTGGCAACAATTTCTGGATTATTTTTGTTCACATTGAAAATATGAAGACATGTGAATAGAGAGGAACACAAATTAGTTTATTTCTGTGAATTTGGTACGTAAATAAATCTGTAAAACAAACAAAGAAGAACGTTAAGACCACTGAAGCAGATGTTGGTTATAGATGTAATGAATCAAAAAATATATTTCAACAAAACTTGTGATATCAGTTCTCTAGCCTCATGCTGATACCCTTTTTTTGGTGCTAATTTTGACGCAACATGAGAGGAAACTAAGTCTTTTTAAAAACTTGAACTGCTTTAGAAAGGTGCATTGTTCCACGGTCTGCACAACATCTGCTGAATTATGCAAAAATCTTTGTCGAACAAATCACATGCATAGCCGACAGTTAATAATCGAGAAAGCTTTTTCTTTTTTCTTTTTTTGCATTAAAATGTTCAGAGATTGATATTTATTCCTAATAAATGTGTTGTATTTGACTTCTGTGATGACCTGGAAAATAAACAGTCAGTTTATTTATTTGGATGAAGACAAGAGCAGATAATTAGTTTTAAGTGATTGGTGAGTATAGTCCAATAAATGTATGAAATAACAGAGTTTAAAGACTCATTGTGTTCATTTAAACACTTTGGAAAAGGGTATTTACCAATGAAGTTAATGACTATGAACGTTCAACTCTCTTGTGCACAAAAAGAGCTTTTCATTATCTCGAAATCTATCAGACTTATCAGTTTGTTTAGAGGATTTTTCAAACATATTTCCTCATACTTTGTTCAAGTGCTAAAACAGAACAAGCATTCTGATTTGGACCAAAGGATCGCTCAACCTGCTTTAAAAGGGGAAATCCCCAAACACTTGATACGCTCAAAAGGAAACCAACAAACAGTCCAACAAACCTTCACTTTCATTTAATTTAAAGTTTTGGACTTCCGTTTGCACATTTTAAGATTGGACATGTTTTTATTTTTTTTTATTTTTATATTTATGGTTTTAAGGTGTAAATGGGGCTTATGTGTATCAAAATAAGTGCATTTATCCTAACTAATGCACTTATTTATCTTTATTTTGTATCTTTTATGTAGCCTAGCTATTTTTAATTAGTATTTCCTCTTATTTCTATTTTTAATACTATAATTGCTCCAGTCTTTCAAGCTTCAGTTGTTAAATTTGTCAATGGGGGATCAATTAAGCCTAGAAGATTTTTTCCCCCTTCTCTTTAATGTTTCAGTTATGGCTCAGCAGGTCAGCTTTTCTTAAGCATAAAGCTACAATGAGCCTAACTTTAAAAAAAACAAAAACATAATAGTGTGTGTGTGTGTGTGACATTGGGTAATCTTATATTTTAACGTTTGCTATGCAGTTGAGTTAATGGATAACTTGAAGAGACAGAATTGTTCATGGGTTTTGCTTATGTGTCCAGCAGATCATCCCTCATTTGCATTTCAACTGACCCTTAATGTCTTATTTTACTGTTTGATGAGTGGAATTCAAACTGGCTGATAAAATGAGTTTCAGTCGTTTTGCACATTTAACTTCTTGTAGATAAAGATTGACTTTTGTAGTTGTTTTTCCTTAAATAACAAAAACAAAACCAGTTTACTCTTTGAAGCAGTCTGTGATGTGACGAAATCTGTCTGCATATAAAAAGCAATTTTAACAAAACACCAGGTTCACCTTGATCTGCCATGAACCAGGAAGTGGGGGTGTGTTGCTTAGCAGTTTGTTCCTCATTTCTGGTCGTGAAGTACAACAGTGCAGACAGGTGAGTCAGTGATACAGTACATTTGTTTAGTACACCTTGTCAGTGACGCTTGACTGCATTGTGCTGACAGCCTCTTTACATTCCAGGCGTGCTTTGGATGAGAGTAGAAACTCAAAGTGGATCTGAGTGTTTTTAAATGACTGCTTAAACATGTTGGATCCAAAAGGGAACGAGATCAGAGGGAGCCAGCTTCAAGCAGCATGGACCGACTTCAGCCAGAGTAACAAAGGTTTGTTTTCATGAATACGGTAACCAGATATTCACATTCAACACGTAGGCTACTTCAAGTTCTAGTAATTGACTCACTTCTGTTGTATAAAGGCAGAGGGGAAATGGGAAGGCTACTTCTTACTACTTGAAACCTTAGTTAAAGTATGAAAGCATTGTACCATGAATGGTTGGGTTGTACAGAAGCCCTTAAAGGACAGACATCCACACAATATTTCTCCATTTTCCTGTGATAGCAAATTCATTTTGATTTTTTTTTTCTTAAGATCTTAAGAAATCTGCTAAAACTCACATGACAACCAGCGTTAGTATCACTAGATAAGGAGATAAATAAGTGCAGAGAATCTTGTAGCAGCTGAAATATACTCCTTATCACGGGAAAACAGAGTTAGACAGAGTATTAATGCATGTCTGCTTATGGCTTCTGTACTTATGAATGTGTATTTCCTTCAGTGTAATAGATTTTAAAAGTTGTACTAATTTCCCTTCTTCACATACTTCACAACATTCATTATGTTATATGGGCTCATGTGTTTGTAGTGTAACCACCCACTTCTTTACAGTGATTGGTATTGAAGTGGCACTTATGTGAATACTTCTTTTTGTTGTTTTCCATTTACATCCCATTATATTTTCAAATGAAAACTCTCCTTCTTTGAGACATCATTACATCTTTCCATTTGATCAAATAGATCTGTGAATAATCTTTACTGTGCTCTCTCCCCCTCCAGTTTTCATCAACGCTGATCCCAAACTGCCAGATTACACCCAAGCTTTTCCCAAGAAAAACACCACTGTAAAAGAACTGCTGATGATGAGACGACAGGTGAGTCACAGGTAGAGCAGGTATGTGTACAAGTATATGGACATGATAAGACATGTTTAAGAGCATTTCAATTGTTCGGTTTGGATCTGTCAGAGAAAGTTTCCTGTTTGTATTTGTTGCTTTTTTTTTATCTTGGAGTTTAGATTTTTCATTTTTGGGCTTTTATTTAGATAGAGAGAGAGACTGGGGATTTGACATGCAGGAAAGGGGCCACAGGTCGGACTTGAACCCGGGCCGTCCTCTCACAACCTAACCCCTTTGCCCCTTGGTTTTATGACATTCGTTTAACGTGCTGAAATGAAAATAAAGCGTTTGATTATTCTCTTTTAGAAATGGAACTGCTCACGGGACGACGTCAACTTGGAGCAGAAGTTGAAGATTCCAAAGTCTGAGGCGTTTGCAAACGACATAAATCTTCATCAACTGGGCCCTCCAGCACCAGTTTACTCCACGATTACTAATCACTTCGTCCCTGCTGCTCCAGAGTATAGTCCCAATCCCCTGCAACAAATACAACATCCACCTCTGCAGGGACAAATGGCCCCAGCGGCTGACGTCAAAATGTCTTTGTTTCACTGGCAAATACTGCAAGAGGTGAAGAGAGTTGGAGGAGTTTCTCCTGAGCAGCTGAACATGCAGGATTCAGACGGTGACACGTATGTACTGATGAAGAAAATGACTCATTCAGATCAGTGATTGTCAGTAGGCAGAGAATTTAAAATAGTTAATAATTAATATATCTACAAAGTATTCATCTGACACCTACCCTGCGTCAGTGGTTTCAGGCTTTAAAAACAACAGCATAGAAATCATCAATCTTCTCGTTGATCGTCTTGTTTGCTTTTGTGAGTCATTTAATGGCATCAGTTTTAATTTCAGTCTATTTAATAAAAACTTCTCACAGGAGCTTTAAAATAGTAAGTAAAATGAAACTAAACACTGTCTCTTGTTAGCCACCACAAATAAAGAATAAATCTATAATATTTATGTCAGCTACAACTTAAAATTTTAAAGTAGAAATTGTTAGGTGAAAAAAATAAATAATATTGAGCTACTTGTCCAATATATATTGAGCTATAGAGTTGATAAACTGTGTATAAATATATGTTATTCAGGTATCTTCACATAGCCGTTGCACAAGGGAAACGGGCTCTTGCTTTTGTGCTCGCTGCAAAAATGGCCAGTTGTGGCTCCCTGGACATGAAGGAACACAATGGGCAGGTAAAAACCAAAATCAAGGCTTCATGTGTGTGTCCTTTAAGAGCACTATATCACATACTAACTGCATTGTTGTACTTTACACACAGACAGCTCTTCAGATAGCCGCCGCCACAAATCATCCCTTCATGGTCCAGGACCTGCTCCAGCACGGAGCCGATGTCAACCACAGGGACCTGTGGGGCTGCTCTCCTCTGCATGTGTGTGCTGAAAAAGGCCACTTCCTCAGTCTTCAGGTGCGAGCTCGCCGTAAAACACAAATCATACTCAAGTAGAAGAGATTAAAATCTGCAACTGGATCTGTCAATGTTTGACTTTGTCACGGGAGGGGGCTGGAGTCGATCTCAGCTGTCATTGGGGAGAGGCGGGGCACACCACAGACTGTTGATACTACACCTGTCTTTGTTTGAATTTCTCTTTATTTCCTTGTCCTTCAAAATGAAAATGAACTCATTGAGAGTTAAACTCATGAACTCCAGAGTCACAGTTAGCAGCCTAATATGTCCTGGGACTTTTTTTTAGCCAGACAGCTTAACTTTCTAAGAGCTTTTTTAAAAGTTTCTTATTCTACAAAAATGGTCCCCCATGACCTCAGACATGCACTCTGAGCTTATAATATATAGGAAACCCTGTTTGTGATCGTGAATCTTTAACACTGCTAAGGTACAGTGTGTCTGACTTGTTAATTCATAACTTTTTATTAACCCTGTTACCATGACAACCTGTGACTCAGTGCACTCCACCAACTGAGCTTCATTTACATGATGGGTCATATTGTTGCCGTGCCTTAAACAATTCATCTTGAACCTGTTTTTCTTTTTCTACAGAGCATCTGGAGGACCCTGATGGGGAGTGGGCGAACCATTGATATAGAAATGTATAATTATGAAGGTGAGCATACTTATTTAATCAGGTAATGTCAGTATTGCTGATGCCTCTGTGACATATCGTTCTGATTTAACACTTGAGTTGTCTACCTGCAGGTCATACACCGCTGCACACAGCTGTGTTGTGTCACAGTGCTGTTGTTAGAGAGCAGAGGCGTCAAGGAAATTCTTGTTCATTCATGGTGATGGAGCAGGAGCGGAAGAGACAGAGTTATATTGAGTGTATTAAGACTTTGCTGCTCATGGGCGCCTCCTGTGGGACAAAGGTAATTATTGCATTTCCATGGTCTGAATAAACCTTGAACTGGTTGCCTTTGTTTGGTGGTTTGTTTTATTCCACATATTAATGACTCTGTTTTGATGTTTATTCTTTAAGGATTTAAAAAGTGGACGCACGTGTCTGCACATGGCTTCTGAGGAGGCAGACGTGGCGCTGTTTCACATTTTCTTTGAGGAGTCGTCCACCCTGCAAATTGTGAACGCTAAGGTCATTTTTCAATGTTGGTGCAATGAAATCCAATTAAAAGTTGGGCAATGCAAAAAAAGTGCACATCTTTAAGTGGTGCTTCTGTGTGTTTCAGACATTCAGCGGAAACACAGCCCTGCACATTGTCAGCTCTTTACAAAACCACAACAGGCAAGTGGAAATGGTGAAGCTGCTGATGCGAAAAGGAGCCGACCCCGGGATCAGGAACTTTGAGAATGATCTGCCGTCTCAGCTGGTGCCTGAAGGCCACATAGGGGAAAAGGTAGAGTATGGCTACATTATGTTTTCACCTCAATTTGAACCATACCGTTATGAAGAGCAGGATGTTTATGTGCTGTAAAAATGTCTCTTTTCTCTTGTAGGTGAAGAAGATCCTGAAAGGGAAGTATTGTCATGCTTAAGTAAAGCTCAGGAACACTGTCAGTCAGATAGTCCGCTCTATTATGTAACTATTTGCCCAAACAAGGCAGATGCTGGTTGTTTCCATGAAACATGCAACTTGTTCATTACCATGTAATGCTTCAAGAAAAAGTTATTGTTTGAGATGTGTGTGTTGTAACTCGTTTCAGGCAGATCATGTTTGAAACTTCATGTACAATGAGTGAATATGTATTTAGTAGTTTTGAGTGATTATTCATTTTTATATCATTTGCCTTTTTTATAAGTAGAATGTTTAGCTGCATTTGTTTTCAGATATATGTAATTGCCACACATTAGGTGTTATTTTAAATGAGTGATCAGTGTACACTGTTGTCCATTTAAAAGCATTTTTAGAGATTTAAGGTTGTCTTGCATGGATTTTTTATTGTCAATTAATTTTTGCAGCCTCATAAGAAATGTATTGTGTTTATTAGTATAGGAACAAAAAAATAAGGCTCATTTGTTAAATGGTTTGGTTTTAATATTATAGTCCTTGTTCATATGATCAACAATCACAATCAGTTAAAGTTTGACTCTTAAAGCACAAAGAGCCCAGGTTTGATGTTGTGTGAGGTCCTTGCATTAATGTTGCTTAAATATCATGTAATATGAATCCTCAGTAATGACCTTTTCAACAAATACTAGGTTGTGTTAAATAAAAAAAGTTTGGACATGAGTGCAAGTGCATCCCGACAGGACACATGGGGCCGCTGTTGTCCTTTCAAATTAAAAAAACATTTGTGTTAATTATTGAAGAAAGACTCCAAAATTGATGCATGTTAATATTTTATTTACACTGGACATGAAATGTTTTCTTCACTCAAAATGAGTCCTTGCACACACACACTGTTCTGCAAAAATATACGTTATTTAATCCGTTTAGAGAAGATTTATCAGAAAGTTTCATGTTCGTCAGCTCCGATGGAAGCGCAGCACAGACAGTCTTTCGTTCCCAGCTCTCGTGGACAAGCAGGACTCTCCCTTCAAACCGTGCTTACATAGTGAGTGGATGATTTCCTCTGGTGGAAAATAAAGAAAACTAGTCATGAAATGTTACTAAACAATCACTCTCGAGACAGCGTTGAACTTACCTGGATCGTTCTCAGCTATAGTGATGAGGTAGAATAAACCTTCACTGGAGAGCAGCTGAGCTACCAGAGGCAGAAATCGGTCTGTGACCTCTCGTCCTCGTTTCCCACCAGCCCAGGCTGCTTCTATACCTCTGCTGCCAACCTGGAAGAAAGGCACAATATCTTTAACAATCCTCATCAGCAGTAAATAAAAAGCTGTAGAGAGCTGGATCACCTCCTCTGAAGGGGTGACCACATAAGGAGGGTTGAAGAGGAGGACATCCACTTTCCCGCCTAGTCGAGGCAGAAGAGAGTCCACCTTAAGTGAGGAAAGAGAAAAACACTTATAAATTCAAATTCTTGCACAAAAAGCGTACTTTACAACTGTAGTAGGCTATTGAATGCCTCACCAGGGATGTGAGAACAGGCTGCAGTGACACATTGTTGCAGGAAGCGGTCTTTGCTGTGCACTGAGCTGCAGCCGGATTCACATCAGTGCAACTAAAAAAAAAAGAGACCACAGATGATTTCCTTGATACATTCAGAATAGAAAAGCTGAAATTTCCTAAAATGATGTGATGAGAAAGTGTTCCACACTCACAGATAGAGAGCTGAAGGTCCAATAACTGATGCCAGGAATGCTGACACCACTCCAGAGCCACTGCCCACCTCCAAACACACGCAGGGGCTGCACACAGCAGAGGAAATAAACACGCATTCATGATGTGTGAACGTGATGCGTTCAGGTACAATCATGTAACTTTTCAAACCTGATGAGCTGGAGTCTCTCTGCATCCTTTTCCAACGCGTCAATCAGTAGAAACGAGTCCTCCGCAGGCTCGTAAACGTCCCTGAAGTCTCCCCGTCCCGCATGAGAGTATAAAGGTGTGGGGAAACCTGTGGTCATGTTTGCGTCTCAGCTGCAGGAGAGGAGTTCGGAACTTCTCTGCTCCTTCACGTTTGGTGGGTAAATGTTACCTTCAGTGTCATGAGCCGTGCAGCTCTGTCGTTTTCATACATTTGAGTCACTTTTACTCACAGTACAGCTCACGTTCTCCACATTGAAGCTAAGCAACCAACTTCCGCGTATACGACCTCACGTCACCGTGACGTAGAAGACACGGACGTACAGTAACCTCTCAGATGTTAAAAAAAGCGTGAAACGTAGAAGAGTAAAAACAGACAGTTGATTCTCTTTGCTCTGTATAACAATGTAGGAAGGAATAGATACTGTTATACCGTTATTTATATTTTACTATTATATATTACCATTATTTTTCTTTAGTATTATTATATTATTAGTTTAAAAAAACATTTATATATATTTTTTAAATGTATTTTGTATTTATTGTTATTTTTTACATGTATATATTTTATATATACTTTTTTAAATTATTATTTGTTTTTTATGCTCGTCTTTACTTTCGCCCCCTGGTATGGTCATGTTATTGTAATTTATGTGTCTATGTCTGTGTGTGTATGTATGGGCGGGGAGGGGGGGTGTGTGTCACACTACCCAAAAGAAAAAGGAAAAATTGTCCTTAACGATTATTGTATCATGATACCTTTCAAATTAATAGAGATATTTCAAAATTACTCAAGAGATTACTCAAGTGAATTTATTAAATAAATCAGCTGATTACATTGTCAATAAACTCTTTTATCAGTCAAATAGTGAAAGATGTGGTTTAAATTATTATTTAATCATGAACCTTAATCTTTGTCTCACTCATCTGCGGCCTCGATGGACCACAAAATGGAAGCTAATTAACTGTCTGATAGATCAGCGTGATGGGCAGCATCTGTTTTAGTTGCACATGTCTACCTCAAATAACCCAAAACCACATGATGCATTTTATTTTTTTTAACTGCTGTTTTTTGGTCTATGGAAATCACTGATTACACTTTGTTTCAAATAGTTTGTATACAAATAAAGCATATTTTCATGATAGGAAAACTATTTTCAACCATCTTTTATACTTATCCAAGAATATAGGTTAAAACAAACTGTGAAAAGACTTAATAATTTGTAAATGGTTGGAAATTAAAGTGACTACACCTATACCCACCACAAGATTGAACATGTGTTTGTAATGTTAGTAAAGTATTAATGTTTCCTTTTGTATAAAAGCAAGCGTGTTTGGATTATTTCACTAATAACAAATCATTTAAACAGTATCTATCCACATTTGTAGATTTATACATCTAAAAATGTATGTTTTTGTTAAAGGTTCAAATTTGATGTAACTATCACCATGGGGCATCAGGTCAGGATGCAGGAATCCAACAAGACTTGAATTTAGGTAACAGGTTTATTTCTTCAAGTTAGGTGAATCATAAGGATAACATAAGACACACATGGGATTGAACATCCATGCTGAAAGACAAATAAAATGATATTAGTACAATAAACAAGTCAAATTAGATTACTTTCTGAAAGGAAAAAAAGATAAATAAAGTACTTGGGACAAATTAAAGTTGCCTAGATAGTAACTAAAATAGGAGTAAAAGCCACCTTAGATTGCTGAACTGCCACCCCATGTGAGGATGAAAACATGACTGTAAGGCAGTGCAGTCTTAAATAAAGAGTAGGCAGGTGAATTCAATCTAATTAATTAGTGACAGAGTGCAAACAACAACCAATCAAGAGAAGAGAGGAAATTGAATTTAAATTAGCTCAATGAGCTGTAAGATGTACTCATATCAAATATTTGAATCATAATAAAAAAAGCAGTTTTAATCAAGTTGCTTATTTCAATTAAATCAATAAAAAGGTTTGTGGTATTTTCATTAAGAAAACCAAATGACAATAAATTAATTAAATTGATTAAAAAGTAAGTTTGAAAAATAAAATTAAACCTACTAAAAAAAGGTTTAAGGTAAAAATGCAGCTTTAATATAAATAATTTACCAAACAATGATGTAAGACTCTAATTAAAAGGTATAGGTTGAAAATAAATGCATTTTATCGTTTATAAATCACTTTATATGGAGAGAGCGCCCTCTGGTGGTTAGTTATAAAAATTAAAATAAATGTATTTTATCGTTTATAAATCACTTTATATGGAGAGGGCGCCCTCTGGTGGTTAGTTGTTGGTTACTGCACTTAAATAATACATTAATCAGACTGCTGTTTCTTTGAGTAAATTAAACACAGAAGGCTGGATGAAGACCTTTTACTTTTAAATAAAATAAATGAAGTCTATTCATATTACTTGAGTAAGATGAACATTTAATCTCTGAGCTCTGTGAACAGTAATGTTTAGAAAATCATTTTACCTCTGAGCTGCAGCACAGAGCGAGGAAACACCTGCACACACCTGTACAAAGAAACAAGAAGAAAACCCTGCATTCTGAGTTCAACCAACAACTTTCAACTAAAACGACATATCCGATTTTAATGAGCACTATGTAATGTGACTAATGAGACTAAATATGAATAAAGACAGACGACGTTGTTTACAAATTATTAAGTCTTTTCATTTAGTTTTAGATAAGTATAAAAGCTGGTTTCTAAATGATCTGAATTCAAACAATGTTGGTTGGTAAACTACTGTATGCTATACAGAAGTAACTGCACTATTTATATTTTTCCACACATTTGTGTTGGAAAAAAAGGTTAAAAAGAGGATACATTTCTGTTATAGTGACTGTTGGATGTAATTGCAACCTATCGCCAGCAGAGGGCAGCAGTGTAGTATGAATGTATGATGCAGCGGTTAATTAGACCTGACTTGTTAACCTCCAGGTGAGTTATATTGTAATATTTACAGTCTATGGTTGGTTTTGGTGAGTGCTTTGGGATGTATTTTGTGTTCTTTTGGCACTTAAAAAAGATTTACTTTCCCAAATCTCCTTGTTTTTAATACACCAAAGGCTTACTATAACCTTTAGTGCCAAAGGATAGGCTGTCCTATCTGCCTTTAAAAGTCCAAAAGTGGGGCACAGATGGCCTAGCGGTTAGGATGCGCCCCCATATACAGAGGTGATAGTCGTTCAAGCAGGCGGTCCAGGTTTAAGTCTGACCTGGGGCTCTTTCCCTACATGTCCTTCCCCACCCTCTCTCCTGATTTCCTACTCTATCCAATACCATAAAGTCAAAAAGCCCAAAATAAATCTTATAAAGCCTGAGAGGACCTGGAAGAACAGGGGAAAGTTTAGACTAACAACAGAGCCTCACTAATGAGTTTTATTTGACATATTTAAAACGACTTGCTTCCTCCTCAAACAGTCAAAACAGGTGAAAACATATGTAAGTGGAACTGTAAATGTCAGAAAAAACCCTGTGTTGTTGCTCAGTCTTGACAAATGAGCTTCAGTGGTTTGAGTTGATTTCAGACTGAAGCTGAGGCCGCAGTCCAGAGCATTTAAATCTAAATACAGGTGCTGTGTCACAGCTCAGTGGGACCCATTGATGTGAGAAATATAAAAGCAGCCTTGTCTGCTGGACACCATCCAGACGTGTTAGCAGGGTACACCCAGCTCTGTGTATGTTAACATCATGGCTACGTGAGTAAAAGCACTCAGACCTTCCAAATAAAGAGATTCACGGCCCAGAGGATTCACCTGCCGGCCTGGACTGGTCCGTGTTTGGGGTCAACAAAAGTGTGTTGCTGTAGTGACAGTTATCAGCTATTAGTTTTGTTATCAACAATTTACAGTAGAAGATGGTGTTATTAGACCTTTGTCATATAGCCAAAAATAAACAAAAAGCATAGATTTAGGAAAAGCTGAATATATTTCCAAGTATCCCAACTGGGATTTTTTTTTTTAAAGAGGAAATGAGTCAGTTTCCTCTGGAATTTCTTAAGGTCTTATGTTTAAATGTGGAAATATAATCAAATAATAATATAATCAGCAGCATGTAGTTTCAATGATCCCATCTCACTCCTTTTGTCAAACAAGCAGCAGTCATCTCGTCTTGTTCCAGCAGAGGACCAAGACATTGTGTTGATGCATGAGAATATATCTTGTGGTGTTATTTTTACGCCGTCCCATGTTCACTTTTTTATTATAATAAATTATTCATAAATCAGTTTTTTCTTTGAATGTCTACAGTAATTTTAAATCTGAAAATAGTAGTTTTGATTTCAATGTGACCTTTCATTGACCCAGAAACCCTCTTGTGGTTTACAAGGCATTTGATATTAATTTGTAAACTCAGTTATTATTTCTGTTCGTGTCATATTATTCCACATAAGCATAGATATAATAAATGTTCTATTAAGAAGCAAACCAGCAGTACCGCCTTACTTCCGGGTCAATTGAATAATGATTAGACGTCCGGCCAATCACAGAGGAGATCATGTTGAAATGCGTAGTGAAGGAAATCCATCATTTGATTGTGAATATGTAATCGGAAGTTTTTACTTGTTTAATCATTGTTTTTATTTTTTTAATGCAGTCATTTTTTAATGTAAACCATAGTTCCCATAAGTGTTGTTTGTTCTTGTTTTATAATAGATAATAATAAATAATAATAATAAAACTATCCAATATATTTGAATAAGACTATAGGCTACTTTCTAGCAAAGGAACTGTTTACATTGGTCAATTAATTCTCGACATTGTTCGGGTTTACTTCTCCTTTATATCTTAAAATGACAAAAAAAACGTATTAATTTTCTCAAGTTCTGATAAAGTTAAAATCCAGATACATTTAATCAGTGACTCAGATTGACTGTGCTCCGTGTGATTGTTATATTTACTTTTTTTTGGACCTTTATTTGTGACGAGCGAGACAGCTGGTTGTCATGGCAACCCATATACAACAGCAGCAGGAAGCTACTGAAGAGCGAGTCTCCCCCCTTTGGGTTTTTTTAAAACAAGTCAGTTCATAGAACCGCGCTGTTCAAAATGTCTGTGCCTAAAAACAACGTGAGAAAGGTAAATGTCAACTTACTTCCTACCTCAAGTACAATAAGTGTGTTTTTCCTTATGTAACATCAGACCACTGAGGGCGTTTACTTTTGTTTGATGCAGGCCTCAACTGTTCAGAAAGTAACGTTACCTGGTGCGAAGGCAACCAAAGCTGCAAGTAAGAAAAAGGTGGGTCAACGAAATACCAGAAAGTGATAAAGTTCCGAATCAGTCGATTTGGCTTTCTAT